CAGCCCCAGGCGCGAGAGCTGCGCTGACGGGCGGAAGGACGGTCCCCGCGGGTGGCAGGGACCGCGGCGTCCGAGCGGGCGGGATTCGCGCCTGGCCAGGCACGGTCCGAAGTCCGCGCTATGGGAGAAGAGAAATACTTGCCTGAGCTGATGGCAGAGAAGGATAGCCTGGATCCATCTTTTGTGCACGCGTCGCGCCTTCTGGCAGAAGGTAGGACCGGCCCAGGCGCTCGCCAGCCCCGAGCCGGGAGAAGTTGGGGAGGGTGGACGCTCCGCTGTGCAGAAACTGTCCCCCGGAGCTGCTTATGTTAGCAGGAGCGCTGCGCGGGCAGCCGAGCTCCTCTGAGGCTGAATTGCTGGAGACCAAAGCCCTGAGGTCTCATGTCAGGGGCATGCGACCTGTTAGGGTCCTGGACAGGGAAACCAGCAAGTGTCAGGTGGTCCACCGGGACCTTTTCAGTTCACAGAAGCCAGGGAAATCAGTTCAGGAGGAAATGCGATCCATGAAACGTTTTTCTGAGAGCGTCTTGGTCACAGATCAGCGTTATTTATTTAGTACATTTTTCCCCCTTTGGCGTTTCTAAGTGATTTTGATACCCTTTAATCAGTCTTTCCTTTCCCCCGAAAGTCTTAGAATTAATCAGCATTAAAGTATGCGTGTTTGTATATTTACGTGACCGTGGTAAGCAGAAGCTAAAGTGTTTATAAATGTGTTTGAAAAGAGATTATTGGGTACTCTGTGAGATATTGGTCCCTAGGAACGCTCCATAATTGATCAACTGTTTTTTGTTTTTTGTTTTTTAAATCAGGTGTGCATTTTCTTTTATGTACCTGTGATGTTCGTGGAGCTTCGGTTCCCAGTGGAGCATCTATGCCTTGCCTTTTGCATTGCTTTGAAAGGTCGTTTGAGAAAAGGCACACATGAAAACTTCTCTGTCAGAAATATTAACCCCAATTATTCCATTTATATGAAACAATGCTAGCTACTAAAGACATCCCATATGCCCATTAATCGGCACATGCCTATTTAACACAACTGCAGAATTTGGGCATGAATGGTTCATTAATTATGAACTGCTTCATCTTCAAACTGGCTACCGTGCAGCTTGGAAGTGTGGGGTCTGACCCACTGGAAGAAACAGTGGCATCGTCCTCTTGTCCAGTTCCTCAGCATTAAAATAGATTTGAGGCTTCGTTTTGCATCGTAGAAAAATTTTGCTCCTCATAGGATTCACAGACATTAGATTTATTTGACATTTTTAATGGGTTATTATTTAGTATGCCCCACAGTAACAAAGTATCTCATGAAAGACTGCCAGGAAGAAATTTATAAACAGAATGTAGAAGACTCGAAATAATCTGAACTGTTTGCAAGGGAAGGCTGGCTTTGTAGAGTACTTAGAGAGTGAAATACAATCATGTTTACCACTTCCCTAATAATCAAATTATAGTCAATGAAAAACTAAAGTCAGGAACTATACTGTCCTCAGCTTTTAAAGGACAACTGTATACTCATTATAGGAATATTGAAAAATGACTTAATAAGCATTAACAGATTAAAAATGTTCAATTGTTCACTTCAGTCTGTTCTTCAGAAGTGTTTCCGTTCAGCGTACAATGAAAAAAGAATACAGATTCCGGATCTTCTCTGTGCTGATAACTGGAGCTTTCATTGGGACGGATGATTCAATAATTGATTCATCAGCTATTAGTGTCTGTTAACTATACGCTCAAAGCTTACAGAACTAAGAGATGCAGGTGAAGCTCTTAACAGAGTGCGACACACGGATATTCCTGACCAGGAAAACAGTTAAGAGAACACTAAGTGCCTGGCTTCCTGGCGCTTTTCTTTTTCCAGCACTGGATTTCTTGGGACTTAGGAAATTGTTCTAATGCACCTTGTAATTTAGTTTTTTCCCAGCAGGGGGAAGCATGGCCTGCTTTTGTAATGGATTAGGGGAAAAGCTCCTAACTAGAAAAGCATCTCAGTAAGAAACAAAGAGGGTGCCTAAATTCAAAGAATTCCTAATGAGAAAGGAGAAAGAAGGAGGTGGCATCGGTAATCCGAGAGTAGCCAGATAGTTACATAAAGAGAAGCGCAGGCGCGTGTCACTTCTGTAACTCTAACCAAGCTCTTTACTCATGCTTACGAGTCTGTGGGGTGAGTGTGCTCTGGATTCGCAGTGAATCATAGTGCACATGTTGCATTATAGATTTCTTTCCATTGTCTTTTCAAAGGCCATTTGTGAGGGTTTCTAGGATCGCTGTAGCGATTTTATTTCTCGTACCTGGAAGTGCCCTGATTGAAGACATCAGCTATAAATAAACCTGACACAGATACTCAAATGGAAGGAAGGTGCACACCGAAATACATTTTAGCAGTGCTGTGCAGACAGTCTTGAGACTGAGGGGGCAATAAAAATGATCCAGATGAATCCATTCTTTGGAATGAGTTTCTAGAAGCAGTGATATAAAGCAATGAGCTCTCACAGTGACTTATTTTGTCTTGTGATAATTGATAGATACAAGCCTTTAACCACTTGTGCCTGCTTCATTTAGGTTGGAAGGCCATGGACTTCAAATTACTTTTTGAGTTGCTTTTGTATTTTCATTGTATTTTATTTCATTTGTTTCTGTTTTGTGTTTTCACTGAGGGTGAGTCTAAAAATAATCATTGAAAACAAATACATTATGAATATGATTGCTAGCGATAGCAGATCTTGAGTAATATGGGTTAAGGTGTTTTCTTAATGTATTTGATTAAAATAACTTCCATCCTGTAAGTACAATTTTACATAGCTCCTCAGTTGTTATGGAAGATGATTCTGAATGTGATAATAGAGCAAACTCAGTATGATTCTTACCGTTCTGGCCCAGGTCCGATTCTGCTTGAGCAGTGGAGTTTCATGAGGCTATTCATAACTATGCTACCTCTGTTTAATTCTATGTTTATTTAAACTGATTTTTATTAGCTTTCCATGTCTGCTTCCATTTTTCTTCTCTCAAATTAAATAGTTTGAGTAGGAGAGCTGTATATTTCTGCAGTTCTTACTTACTCCCAGATGTTTGCTGATGCGAAGAAGTGATGATTGCATACTCGGAACAGAAAAATCAATAGCTGAACATTTTGAAACTTTTTCATTCCTTCCTAGTTTCATGATTAATAATACATTCACTGCAGTATAGTGCAATTTGAGGCACATACACTATGTTGGACAAGGAAGACAGATTCATGTTCTTAATTTTATTGAGTGACTTTGAAGGCTTGGGTCTTGCATGTAAAATGGGTGTGAACATAAGCTTGTTTCCAGTGGAATGTGCTATATGACTGATTCACATTTATTATTCTATTATGACAATTTATGCTTTCAGAAGGGTTATTTAATTTCAGTGAAAGTGAGTTAGGCAAGGCTTTCTTGCCTGTGTCTTCACAAATATTGATGGATTAGCCACTGTTTTAGCTAATTTATGGTTCTGTGAAAGAAAAAATTGCCAAATAAAGTAGTTTCTGAGGCACTCCTTCCAGAGTTTGGTGAAAGCTTGACCCACCAGCGGCAGTTGGCCTTTATGTTTGCAGATCTCTGTGGATTGTAATATTTCATAAATGGTAACATGTCAAAACTGAGTTAGATTCAAATTCCTAGTAAGGATCACTTTAAAATTTAGATCTTAGTCCCTAAATATTTCCCACAGATCTTGGCAAGGTTATAACGTACTGATAGTGCACCTAGAAACACCCTCTGATTTTAAAAAAATACAATATTAACACAACTCCCTCCGTTGATGATTTTTCTTGATGACTATGTCTTCTTTCTCTCTGTAGAAGCAGGATAATCTTAATTACATTTCTTAAATACAAGACAAACACACACAGGTACAGATTGAAATCTTGCTATCCTCAATCTGCATTCAAACCAATTAATGACATGGGAAAAACCCATCTATTTCAGTGTGTACCACACTGGGTGCTGAGTACTGACATGTCCATACTTCACTGTAATGTAGTGAAGATGCTACTTGCCTTCCTGTATGATTCTGTGTAACGGGAAATGCAATGCTCATGAGACAGAAATTTTGAGATATACCTTTCTGTTTGCAGTAATAAGGGCAGAATTTTAGGTAATTACAGGATACATATTTTCTTTAGCATTTTCATGCCATTGTCTGCTTAATCTCAATTTGAGACTAGATTTTATAAGAAAAGGAAAAGTGATTCTTATTTTGCTATTTGAATCACTGCTGAATGATGTTTTAATTCATAAATCAAGTTAGAACATATCATCTTATAAAATATGACTGTTGAGAGGATTTTTAAATGCCCCCAATCCATCGATGATTCCTTGTTAGTCTGCCTCGGTTTGGTCAACATTAGTTCTTTTCCTTCTTTCTTTCTTTCTTTCTTTCTTTCTTTCTTTCTTTCTTTCTTTCTTTCTTTCTTTCTTTCTCTCTTAAAAATTTCTACCTCCTCCCCGCTTCCCTTTTCCCTCCCCCTCCCCACATCCTCCTCCCTCTCTAGTCCTAAGTGCAGTCAGGGTTCCCTGCCCCATGGGAAGTCCAAGGTCCTCCCCCCTCCATCCAGGTCTATAAAGGTGAGCATCCAAACAAACCAGGCTCCCACAAAGTCAGTCCATGCAGTAGAATTAAAACCCAGTGCCATTGTCCGTGGCTTCTCAGTCAGCCGTCACTGACAGCCACATTCAGAGGGTCCAGTTTGATCACATGCTCTATCACTCCCAGTCCAGCTGGCCTTGGTGAGCTCCCATTAGATCAGTCCCACTGTCTCAGTGGGTGAACACACCCCTCGTGGTCCTGACTTCCTTGCTCATGTTCTCCCTCCTTCTGCTCCTCATTTGGACCTTGGGAGCTAAGTCCAGTGCTCCAATGTGGGTCTCTGTCTCTATCTCCATCCATTGTCAGATGAAGGTTCTATGGTGATATGCAAGATATTCATCAGAATGGCTATCGGACAAGGCTAGTTCAGGCACCCTCTCCTCTGCTGCCCAAGGAACAAGCTGAGGACCTCTCCTTGGACCTGGGAACCCCTCTAGAGTCAAATCTCTTGCAAACCCTAAAATGGCTCCCTTAATTAAGATATTTACTTCCCTGCTCCCATATCAACTCTTCCTCCATTCCACCCATCCCATTCCCCCAAGATCTCTGGAATCCTCCCCTTCTCCCTACTCTCCACCCATCTCCCCTTACATCCACCCC